CCCCAAAACCCCAAAACCCCAAAACCCCATATATATATAATAAAAAATCTGAGGCTTCTAAAATATTTATAAATAATCACTTTTTCGAAATTTTATTGATCTCTTGCTTGATGATATCTTCAAATTGCTTTAATGAAAAATCAGTGGTAGTGTCATAAACATCTTCTACCATAATATCTTGCTTCATCACTTCAAATTCAAGAGACATTTTAAATATCAACTGAACAGGCTATTAATACCCGCAAGATTTTTCATATTTCAATGTTTCTATCAACTCACTGAGCTTCATTGAGTAGTACAAATGCTCTTGAGGATAGAATGTCTTTATTTGAGAATTCCTCAGCTCTGCAAAATGATCATAGCCGAAGAATTATTGAATAAGATAAGAGTCTAATCTTTCACCGACATAGAGATAGATATATTCTCCATCATCAAAAATATACATGTTTTCTTGATTGAGTAATTATAAAGCAGTTCTCTAGCATAAAGGCTTCACAATTTATTATCCCTAATCTTCAATTTATTCGTATGCCTAATAATTAGTTAATCTTTAAAATTACTTGAGTTTATAAATCGTTTAGGCAATATATTCTAGGATAAGAGAAATAGCAAAATTTCTGCAAAGACATATTTAGAATTCTTTGTCCATTCTATGTAATATAGTGTATCTTATTGTAAGGAAGCAAACGTAGAGCCTAATATTGGTAAAGAATAAATATATTTATACTTTGCTTCGTAGGACTCTGTTTATGTACCCTGCAAAAATGGCTAATTATTAGGGGATTTCTTGACTATATAATGGAGCATTTCCTTTAATCTCAGTGATATATGTTTTTGTTAAAGTTGACATTGACCTTAGAAGATTTTACTTCACTTATTTTAGCCCTGTATTTTAAACTTGGCATAATTAGCTTCTAATGACAAATTAACCTAGAGTTTCTTGATCAATACTCTCCAAGTATTGAGAAAAGCTATTTGCTGCTGTTATTCTATAGTTTAGTACCCTTATCCTTTTTTATCCTTAAATATTATTGAAGAGTATAGCAAACTGTAAATAATGCTCAGTAAAATTTTTTAGTTGATTTTTATCTAGCTAAAGTTCAATTCCTAAAACTTTATCAGAATCAATCCTTGCTTATGTAATAGCTCCAGTCTCCAACTAACAAACATTTTTATTTAAATAAATTTACTTTTTAAATGCCTTATGATCCAAAAAAATTAGTAGCTTAAATTCCACTACTTGATCTAAGTGTGTACACACTATTGAAATATGAATTCCTTGTCAATATTTTGAAAAGCTCAAGATGCAATTTCTCTCCATAGGATTCCTTATCAAAAGGATTCCAAAATAATATTTCTCCTCCTGTTAGTTAGGATATTGGGGCGATTGTAGCTATATCTATTGTTTAGGAATTATTCATGCATAAAAACATATCTACGCAAACTCCATTCTTGTTAAGATTCTAGCCTTAGAGAGTATAATAATCTATAAACGGCTTAAGTAAGGTTGGTTCTTTATCTGTATTGTAGAGTGAACTATCATCTCTGGTCAAAAACTTTCCAACCCCTGTGTTGGGCATATTCGCAGAAAATAGAATAATATTTCCCTCTACAAAATAAGAATAGTTAAGCAATCAATATGGAATTACATTAATTTTCTGAAATTAGCTCAGCTACTTTTAGGGCAGCACCTGCTACATGTCTTTGAGTTGTAACTTAGTTAGCTTGATTTGTATAGAGGACCAGTATTTTATCTAATATATAATCTATGGTTTGTCTTTAGTCTCTAATGTGAAGCAATAATTACTATTGAGGAATAGGCAAAAAAGGCTCTTCACTGTTTGCCATGATGTAAATTAGAGGTTCTCCATTTGGATTTATTTTGCTTGGTTGATATAAATGAACATTGGCATCAAATGTAAGGATGGATATTTTAGTGTGTTCTTGTTCCATGTAATCTAAAGTTAGTTTAATACTGTATATTGCTTATTCAAATAATCCCAATTGTACTGAAAATGGACTAACATCTATGACAAAGATTTTATTTAGGACATATTCATCTGGCTTGTACTCCTTTTTATCATAAAATATTCTTGGAGCAATAAACTCGTAAGATCCTTTGTGAAGCTCAAATCGTTGTTTTAGATCTCTTCTCAATCCCATTTCGTTAAGCTGAGAATAATAGTACTCAGGACATTGAAATTGATATTGGCATATATTACAAATAACACTCTAGCCGTTTTCAATAAATTTGAAAAATGGATTAATATAGCATAGACATCTTGGACATCTAAGTATCTAAGAGTCATAGCAATCTATTACAGGCATGTACTCGTTGACTTCGCAATTGTTTTCATCAACTTATCTGTCGTAAGATAGATCAGTAAGTGGCTAAACTAATATTCCGAATGGAGTGCAAGTTTAATCGATGAATGATTAATCTTGTGGTAGTTTAATGGCTGTAGCTCTTAATAGCTTTGGACCTGTTTGAGAATTATCAATTTAAGTGAATATTTCTGATGGAGAGGGTGGTATTAATTTTGAGTCAGTTTCGTAAGCTAAGGGATAATATTATTGGCTGTTTGCTGAGTTTATCTGGTCAATGATATGAGTTCCAATATCTTTTTAAGTCGTGCCAACATAATCTTGATTATTTTTATTTTAAACCATATTTTGAGTAGTAGTAGATTGGTATTATTAGTAATTGTCGGAAGAGACAAAATTCGAGTTATAATTAAGATTAGACTATTCTGTTTAATATTGCTATTGACTAGATGTAAAGTTAAAATGCCGATTAAATTTACTACTAATAGCCATTATTTTGATATGGATTTTGGGAGTTTCTGTTCATATTTATTTAGTATTAATTTTATCTATTTTAAATTACTCTATGCAGACTCTAACATGATTAATGGGGTTTTGGGGTTTTGGGG